GGTGCTCGACAACTCGTGGGACAACCTCATCCCCACCCTCAACGTTCAGCAGGACAAATGGACGCCTGAGTGGCTACGGCAGCAGATTCTGCAGGAGGACTTCCGCAGACGCCACACGGGAGGTGGTGCTGCCAACAAAACTGCTGAGGGGTATGGAGCTGCAGGAGGCAGCAGAGGAAGAGGGGGAGGGAGAGGCCGAGGCCGTGGGAGAGGCTTTGGCAGAGGGAGAGGCCGAGGTGACTACAATGAGGGGCATGGGAGCTCTGGTGGCAGGGGGAGCACCCGAATGGAGGGTGCGTGCTGGTACTGCAAGAAGGCTGGACACCCGTGGTTCAAGTGTTTCAGCCGGCCTGAGGGATGGGCCCCTCCAGGCATGAAGCCGCCATGTGGTGAACGTGCACGCGGTGGCGCTGTGCAAGGTTCAGGTGCACAAGGTGATGGTGCACAAGGTAAAGCCGACCCTGGGATGTTCCTCATGGTTGAGGATGTGCAAGGGAGTGGGGGTGATGTGGGTTCAGTTGGGAAGGTTGTGATGCACCCCCTCACTCACTGGGTGATCGATTCAGGTTGCACGAGTCATATGACCCCACGGGCAGATTTGCTTGATGAGGTAAAACCTCCTGGGAAGATCAAGTTTGTGGCTGCCGCTTCAGGTGCTTTGCTCCCTGTGATTGGTGTTGGGAATGCCAAGGTGATGGGAGCCAATGGAGAGCTTGTGGGGCTTGGGAATGTGCTGTTGGTTGAAGGTTTGTCCGCTAACCTTCTTTCTGTGCGCCGGCTGCAGAAGAGCAAGGCTGAAGTTACCTTCGGCCCAACCAGCTGCCGTGCAAAGCTTGGGAAGTTGCTGCTGTGGAACTTGGAGGAGAAGAGCAGCTGCATCAAGGACTTGTGGCAGCTGCCCATCATCCCTTGGAAGGGGAAACCACCAGCAACGGCAAAGGCAGCGGCAGCGGCTAAAGCAACTGCGGGAGGAGAGGAGACTGCACCAACTGCTGGGGCCCTGGATGCAGTCAAGAAGGTGCAGCAGCCACAACAGCCACATGGAGAGGTGCTTGCTGGTGTGGATGCGACAGCTGCATGGGCAAAGGCTTCATCTGGGAGTGGTGAGGCTGATTGGGAGACGTGGCATGAGAGGCTGTGCCATGTGAACATTCCTATGCTGCAGAAGTTGGTAAAGGATGGGTGCTTGAAGGGGCTGGAGGTGAAGGGGGGAGCAAAGGAGATTGGGAGCTGCCCTACCTGCCTTGAGACCAAATTCACGAAGTTTCCCTTCAGCAGCAGCACAGGACCAGCCAAGGCACCACTTGCACTAGTGCACATGGATGTGGTGGGCCCCACGAGGGCCCTTTCTCTCTCGGGCAGCCGCTACTTCTTGACGATTGTGGACGACCACACGCGTGCGGTGTGGGTGTACCCTCTCAAGACTAAGGGGGAGGTGGCAGCGGCTGTTCTTAAGGAGTGGATGCCGAGAGCACAAAGGGAAAGCGGACACAAGGTGAAGGTGATCCGCACTGACAACGGAGGAGAGTTCATCGGCGCTGATTTTGAGAAGGAGCTGAAGCGGAAGGGGATCCAGCATCAGCTCACAGTGCCTTACAACCCTCAGCAGAATGGCGTGGCTGAGCGGTTCAACCGGACCCTGCAGGAAGGTGCTCGCACTCTCCTTGGGCGTGCAGGGCTGCCGGATCCGTTTTGGGTGACAGCACTGCGGCAGGTCGTTGTTGTGAAGAACAGGGTGCTGGCAACTGTGGGGGACAAGCAGTGGGTCCCCTACACCAAGTGGTATGGGATTGCACCAGCTGTGAACATGCTGAGAGCCTTTGGGTGCATGGTGGTGTTTCATGTGCCTAAGGAGAAGAGGGGAAAACTGGAAGCTTCTGGGAGATGGGGTGTGCACTTGGGGCTTGCTAAGGATCACAAGGGCTGGCTGATTTGGGACTTGACCAGCCAGCAGCTGACCGTGTCAAGGGATGTGAAGTTCCTTGAGTCCTTGTACTACAAGGAGTGGAAGCAGCAGCAGCAGCAGAAGCTTCCAACGACACCGCTAATTGTCGAGGCCGATGAGGTGCAGCGGCCTTCAAGGCAAGTGGAGGTTTCTGTCTCTGAGAATGAGATCTCTGGGGTGACAGAGGATGGGGGAGAACCTGAGGTGGAGGAGCAGCAGCAGCAGCAACAGCAGCAGCAGCCGCAGCAGCAGGAGGAGCAAGGTGCTCCACAAGGTGCCGGACGTACGGCTGACCGTCCTAGGAGGGATGTGCGCCCTCCTAACAGGCTGACCTATGCAAGCCGTGGCAAGCCAAAGGTGGTAAGGGCTGGGAGTGTGGCTGAGCAGTGTGATGAGGATGAGATAGCACACTGCTACTGGGCAGCCGTCCCTGAGCCCAAGACGCTAGCTGAGGCATTGAGCGGGCCCGATGCTGAAAAGTGGAAGCAGAGTGTGAAGGAGGAGTATGATTCTCTGCTAGAGAATGAGACGTGGGAGCTGTGTGAGCTGCCACCTGGGAAGAAGGCCATTTCTTCCAAGCTGATTTTCAGGCACAAGTACGGACCTGATGGGGCGCTGACCCGCTACAAGTCAAGGCTTGTGGCTAAGGGGTTTCAGCAGACAAAGGGAAAGGACTTCAACGAGCTCTATGCTCCTGTGGGGAAAGGCACAACACTTCGGGTGTCATTGGCAATGGCAGCATACCGTGGATGGCGGGTGAAGCAGATGGACATCACCACCGCCTTCCTCAATGGGATCATTCTGGAGGAGCTGTACATGTTACAGCCTGAGGGTTTGGATGATGGGAGCGGCAGGGTGTGCAGGCTGAAGAAGGCCATCTATGGCCTGAAGCAGGCTCCTCGTGCATGGTACCACAAGTTAGAGGAGACTCTGCTGGCTGGGGGTTTCAAGAAGAGTGAGTGTGATCACAGCTTGTTCCTGCTGCAGGAGAAGGAGCAGTTTCTCATGCTCCTGGTGTATGTGGATGACATCCTGCTCTTCTCTGAGTCGTCTGCAATGATTGAGCATGTGGAGGAGATGCTGGAGATGCAGTTTAAGTGCTCCAAGATGGGAGATGTGAAGTACTATTTGGGCATGCATGTGGAGAGGGACCTTGACAAGGGAGTGTTGAGGTTGCACCAGAGAAAGTATTGTGAGGGGCTGGCTGAGAAGTATGGGCTGCAAGATGGAGGAAAGCCAGCCACCCCACTGCCTTCGGGGTTCACTGTGGAGCCCTGTGCTGAAGAGGAGGTGGTGGGTGAGAGTGACAGGAAGCTGTTTCATTCCATGGTGGGGGCACTCAATTATGCGGCTAACCACACGCGGCCTGACATTGCCTTTGCTACATCCAGGCTTGCAAGTGTGGTTTCACGCCCCAGTCATGAGCAGCTGGAAGCGGCCAAGAGGTTGGTCCGCTATGTGAGCGCTACGGCATTAGTGGGCTTGGAGTACAGTGCTGTGCGACAGAGGCTGCAGAGGGGTGCAGCTGATTTGGGCAAGGGGGAGATGCTCCTGACCTGCTACACCGACGCTAGCTTCAACTCTGTGAAGGCGGATGGCACCAGCATTGGAGGCTATGTGTGCCTGTTTGGAGGTGGTGCTGTGAGCTGGCGCAGCAAGAAGCAGAACGAGGTGGGGCAGTCCTCGTGTGAGACAGAGTACATGGCTCTGCATCATGGGGCAAAGGAGGTGGTGTGGCTGAGGCGTTTGTTGGAGGAGATCGGAGTGTGCCAAAAGGATCCAACTGTGATTTTCTGTGACAACGAGTCGGCTGTGAAGCTTGCTAAGAATGCTTGCCTTCATGGGCTGACGAAGCACATCAGGCCTAAGTGGCATTGGGTGAGGAGGCTCCTGGACAAGGAGGTGCGGCTGGAGATTGTGAAGACCCATCAGCAGGCGGCTGACATTCTCACCAAGCGCCTGGCTGAATCTGAGCATTGGAAGGGCATGAAGCTTGCTGGGATGAGTGTGCATTGAGGATGCATGCTTGAGCTATGGCATGTGGGATGATGGTTGGCAGCCAGAGGGGGAGTTTGTTGAGTGATGCTACCATTCGCATTCACGTCTGTCTGCCTCCCATCATATGTTCGTGCGTTGCATGCGTGTTGTGAGTGTGTGCAAGAATTTGTGTTTTGTGCGGTTTGGTTTTTCTGAGTGTGTGTGTGAATGTTATTTGGCTTGAGCAGATATCTGAAGTGACTCCTCTGCTCAAGAGCTTTCCGAGGAACCAAGTATCGCTTCAATCGGAGCACGAACAAGAAAGTTACGAACGTTGGAGCTCGTATGCTTTTGATATTTGGTTGTGGTGACTATGGGAAGTTGTGGGGTTGACTCAATATGGGGTACAGACTTTTGGGGGTTGGGAAATTCGTCTTTTCTACTGTAGTTGCTGCCAAATGGTTGGGAGAAACCAAACCAGGTTGGCAAGTGTGGCCAAGTTGGGTTGAGGTGGATTGTGGAGGTTGGGATAGTGACAAAGGTCAAAGTTGGGTTGCCTATGGGGAAGGGAATTGTATGGCATGGGGTTTCCTTGGTTGGGGACTCTCTTGGGACCTTCCCTCTCGTCCTCCTCATCCCCTCCTACCTGGTTCTATTGCTACTCTAACTTTCTTGTGTGAACTTGTGAGATCATTGTGATTGAGTTACGTTTTCTATGGCAGCATACCCCCTAGTGCGCCGAAGTTCATAACTCGAGTTATACTCCATATTCTGATACTATTCAAATTGGGAAAGATAGCCACGGTCAAGGGCTACAACATACTCGAGTTTGAAAGAATTCTAACAGTGGACCTTTCGTCGACGACGTTTCTTGTGACGACGACTTTTCTGTCCAGAATTGTAGTTGACGATTTTGAGATATTTCAGCCCCTAATCTTCATAGACTCCGTCCTTAACATCTAACAGTCGCGATGCTCTTCCCAGCCGCCCCAGAGCGGACGCCCCAGAGCGTCGCAATGCTCTCCTCGGACGCCCCAAAACGTCGCGATGCTCTCCCCGGACGCCCCAGAGCGTCGCGATGCTCTCCCCGGACGCCCCAGAGCGTCGCGATGCTCTCCCCGGACGCCCCAGAGCGTCGCTATGCTCTCCCCGGACGCCCCAGAGCGTCGCGATGCTCTCCCAGACGCCCCAGAGCGTCGCGATGCTCTCCCCGGACGCCCCAGAGCGTCGCAATGCTCTCCTCGGACGCCCCAAAACGTCGCGATGCTCTCCCCGGACGCCCCAGAGCGTCGCGATGCTCTCCCCGGACGCCCCAGAGCGTCGCGATGCTCTCCCAGGACGCCCTAGAGCGTCGCGATGCTCTCCCCGGACGCCCAAGAGCGTCGCGATGCTCTCCCCGGACGCCCCAGAGCGTCGCGATGCTCTCCCCAGCCGCCCTAGAGCGTCGCGATGCTCTCCCCGGACGCCCCAGAGCGTCGCGATGCTCTCCCCGGACGCCCCAGAGCGTCGCGATGCTCTCCCCGGACGCCCCAGAGCGTCGCAATGCTCTCCTCGGACGCCCCAAAACGTCGCAATGCTCTCCCCGGACGCCCCAGAGCGTCGCGATGCTCTCCCCGGACGCCCCAGAGCGTCGCGATGCTCTCCCCGGACGCCCCAGAGCGTCGCTATGCTCTCCCCGGACGCCCCAGAGCGTCGCGATGCTCTCCCAGACGCCCCAGAGGGTCGCGATGCTCTCCCCGGACGCCCCAGAGCGTCGCGATGCTCTCCCCGGACGCCCCAGAGCATCGCGATGCTCTCCCCGGACGCCCTAGAGCGTCGCGATGCTCTCCCGGGACGCCCAAGAGCGTCGCGATGCTCTCCCCGGACGCCCCAGAGCGTCGCGATGCTCTCCTCGGACGCCCCAGAGCGTCGCGATGCTCTCCCCGGACGCCCCAGAGCGTCGCGATGCTCTCCCCGGACGCCCCAGAGCGTCGCTATGCTCTCCCCGGACGCCCCAGAGCGTCGCGATGCTCTCCCCGGACGCCCCAGAGCGTCGCGATGCTCTCCCCGGACGCCCCAGAGCGTGGCGATGCTCTCCCCGGACGCCCCAGAGCATCGCGATGCTCTCCCCGGACGCCCCAGAGCGTCGCGATGCTCTCCCCGGACGCCCAAGAGCGTCGCGATGCTCTTCCCAGCCGCCCCAGAGCGGACGCCCCAGAGCGTCGCAATGCTCTCCTCGGACGCCCCAAAACGTCGCGATGCTCTCCCCGGACGCCCCAGAGCGTCGCGATGCTCTCCCCGGACGCCCCAGAGCGTCGCGATGCTCTCCCCGGACGCCCTTGAGCGTCGCTATGCTCTCCCCGGACGCCCCAGAGCGTCGCGATGCTCTCCCCGGACGCCCCAGAGCGTCGCGATGCTCTCCCCGGACGCCCCAGAGCGTCGCGATGCTCTACCCGGACGCCCCAGAGCGTCGCGATGCTCTTCCCAGCCGCCCCAGAGCGGACGCCCCAGAGCGTCGCGATGCTCTCCCCGGACGCCCCAGAGCGTGGCGATGCTCTCCCCGGACGCCCAAGAGCGTCGCGATGCTCTTCCCAGCCGCCCCAGAGCGGACGCCCCAGAGCGTCGCGATGCTCTTCCCAGCCGCCCCAGAGCGGACGCCCCAGAGCGTCGCAGTGCTCTCCTCGGACGCCCCAAAACGTCGCGATGCTCTCCCCGGACGCCCCAGAGCGTCGCGATGCTCTCCCCGGACGCCCCAGAGCGTCGCGATGCTCTCCCCGGACGCCCCAGAGCGTCGCGATGCTCTCCCCGGACGCCCCAGAGCGTCGCTATGCTCTCCCCGGACGCCCCAGAGCGTCGCGATGCTCTCCCCGGACGCCCCAGAGCGTCGCGATGCTCTCCCCGGACGCCCTAGAGCGTCGCGATGCTCTACCCGGACGCCCCAGAGCGTCGCGATGCTCTTCCCAGCCGCCCCAGAGCGGACGCCCCAGAGCGTCGCGATGCTCTCCCCGGACGCCCCAGAGCGTGGCGATGCTCTCCCCGGACGCCCAAGAGCGTCGCGATGCTCTTCCCAGCCGCCCCAGAGCGGACGCCCTAGAGCGTCGCGATGCTCTTCCCAGCCGCCCCAGAGCGGACGCCCCAGAGCGTCGCGATGCTCTCCCCGGACGCCCCAGAGCGTGGCGATGCTCTCCCCGGACGCCCAAGAGCGTCGCGATGCTCTTCCCAGCCGCCCCAGAGCGGACGCCCCAGAGCGTCGCGATGCTCTTCCCAGCCGCCCCAGAGCGGACGCCCCAGAGCGTCGCAGTGCTCTCCTCGGACGCCCCAAAACGTCGCGATGCTCTCCCCGGACGCCCCAGAGCGTCGCGATGCTCTCCCCGGACGCCCCAGAGCGTCGCGATGCTCTCCCCGGACGCCCCAGAGCGTCGCGATGCTCTCCCCGGACGCCCCAGAGCGTCGCTATGCTCTCCCCGGACGCCCCAGAGCGTCGCGATGCTCTCCCCGGACGCCCCAGAGCGTCGCGATGCTCTCCCCGGACGCCCTAGAGCGTCGCGATGCTCTACCCGGACGCCCCAGAGCGTCGCGATGCTCTTCCCAGCCGCCCCAGAGCGGACGCCCCAGAGCGTCGCGATGCTCTCCCCGGACGCCCCAGAGCGTGGCGATGCTCTCCCCGGACGCCCAAGAGCGTCGCGATGCTCTTCCCAGCCGCCCCAGAGCGGACGCCCTAGAGCGTCGCGATGCTCTTCCCAGCCGCCCCAGAGCGGACGCCCCAGAGCGTCGCAGTGCTCTCCTCGGACGCCCCAAAACGTCGCGATGCTCTCCCCGGACGGCCCAGAGCGTCGGGATGCTTTCCCCGGACGCCCCAGAGCGTCGCGATGCTCTCCCCGGACGCCCCAGAGCGTCGCAATGCTCTCCTCGGACGCCCCAAAATGTCGCGATGCTCTCCCCGGACGCCCCAGAGCGTCACGATGCTCTCTCCGGACGCCCCAAAGCATCGCGATGCTCTCCCCGGACGCCCCAGCGCGTCGCGATGCTCTCCCCAGACGCCCAAGAGCGTCGCGATGCTCTCCCCGGACGCCCCAGAGTGTCGCTATGCTCTCCCCGGACGCCCCTGAGCGTCGCGATGCTCTCCCTGGACGCCCCAGAGCATCGCGATGCTCTCCCCGGATGCCCCAGAGCGTCGCGATGCTCTCCTCGGACGCCCCAGAGCGTCGCGATGCTCTCCCCAGACGCCCTAGAGTGTCGCGATGCTCTACCCAGACGCCCCAGAGCGTCGCGATGCTCTTCCCAGCCGCCCCAGAGCGTCGAAATGCTCTCCCCGGACGCCCCAGAGCGTCGCGATGCTCTCCCCGGACGCCCCAGAGCGTCGCGATGCTCTCCCCGGACGCCCCAGAGCGCCGCGATGCTCTCCCCGGACGCCCCAGAGCGTCGCGATGCTCTCCCCAGACGCCCTAGAGCGTCGCGATGCTCTACCCGGACGCCCCAGAGCCTTGCGATGCTCTCCCCGGACGCCCCAGAGCGTCGCGATGCTCTCCCCGGACGCCCCAGAGCGTCGCGATGCTCTCCCCGGACGCCCCAGAGCGTCGCGATGCTCTCCCCGTACGCCCCAGAGCGTCGCGATGCTCTCCCCGGACGCCCCAGAGCGTCGCGATGCTCTTCCCAGCCGCCCCAGAGCGGACGCCCCAGAGCGTCGCAATGCTCTCCTCGGACGCCCCAAAACGTCGCGATGCTCTCCCCGGACGCCCCAGAGCGTCGCGATGCTCTCCCCGGACGCCCCAGAGCGTCGCGATGCTCTCCCCGGACGCCCCAGAGCGTCGCTATGCTCTCCCCGGACGCCCCAGAGCGTCGCGATGCTCTCCCGGACGCCCCAGAGCGTCGCGATGCTCTCCCCGGACGCCCCAGAGCGTCGCAATGCTCTCCTCGGACGCCCCAAAACGTCGCGATGCTCTCCCCGGACGCCCCAGAGCGTCGCGATGCTCTCCCCGGACGCCCCAGAGCGTCGCGATGCTCTCCCCGGACGCCCCAGAGCGTCGCTATGCTCTCCCCGGACGCCCCAGAGCGTCGCGATGCTCTCCCCGGACGCCCCAGAGCGTCGCGATGCTCTCCCCGGACGCCCTAGAGCGTCGCGATGCTCTACCCGGACGCCCCAGAGCGTCGCGATGCTCTTCCCAGCCGCCCCAGAGCGGACGCCCCAGAGCGTCGCGATGCTCTTCCCAGCCGCCCCAGAGCGGACGCCCCAGAGCGTCGCAATGCTCTCCTCGGACGCCCCAAAACGTCGCGATGCTCTCCCCGGACGCCCCAGAGCGTCGCGATGCTCTCCCCGGACGCCCCAGAGCGTCGCGATGCTCTCCCCGGACGCCCCAGAGCGTCGCTATGCTCTCCCCGGACGCCCCAGAGCGTCGCGATGCTCTCCCAGACGCCCCAGAGCGTCGCGATGCTCTCCCCGGACGCCCCAGAGCGTCGCAATGCTCTCCTCGGACGCCCCAAAACGTCGCGATGCTCTCCCCGGACGCCCCAGAGCGTCGCGATGCTCTCCCCGGACGCCCCAGAGCGTCGCGATGCTCTCCCCGGACGCCCTAGAGCGTCGCGATGCTCTCCCCGGACGCCCAAGAGCGTCGCGATGCTCTCCCCGGACGCCCCAGAGCGTCGCGATGCTCTCCCCAGCCGCCCTAGAGCGTCGCGATGCTCTCCCCGGACGCCCCAGAGCGTCGCGATGCTCTCCCCGGACGCCCCAGAGCGTCGCAATGCTCTCCTCGGACGCCCCAAAACGTCGCAATGCTCTCCCCGGACGCCCCAGAGCGTCGCGATGCTCTCCCCGGACGCCCCAGAGCGTCGCGATGCTCTCCCCGGACGCCCCAGAGCGTCGCTATGCTCTCCCCGGACGCCCCAGAGCGTCGCGATGCTCTCCCAGACGCCCCAGAGCGTCGCGATGCTCTCCCCGGACGCCCCAGAGCGTCGCGATGCTCTCCCCGGACGCCCCAGAGCGTCGCGATGCTCTCCCCGGACGCCCTAGAGCGTCGCGATGCTCTCCCGGGACGCCCAAGAGCGTCGCGATGCTCTCCCCGGACGCCCCAGAGCGTCGCGATGCTCTCCTCGGACGCCCCAGAGCGTCGCGATGCTCTCCCCGGACGCCCCAGAGCGTCGCGATGCTCTCCCCGGACGCCCCAGAGCGTCGCTATGCTCTCCCCGGACGCCCCAGAGCGTCGCGATGCTCTCCCCGGACGCCCCAGAGCGTCGCGATGCTCTCCCCGGACGCCCCAGAGCGTGGCGATGCTCTCCCCGGACGCCCCAGAGCATCGCGATGCTCTCCCCGGACGCCCCAGAGCGTCGCGATGCTCTCCCCGGACGCCCAAGAGCGTCGCGATGCTCTTCCCAGCCGCCCCAGAGCGGACGCCCCAGAGCGTCGCAATGCTCTCCTCGGACGCCCCAAAACGTCGCGATGCTCTCCCCGGACGCCCCAGAGCGTCGCGATGCTCTCCCCGGACGCCCCAGAGCGTCGCGATGCTCTCCCCGGACGCCCTTGAGCGTCGCTATGCTCTCCCCGGACGCCCCAGAGCGTCGCGATGCTCTCCCCGGACGCCCCAGAGCGTCGCGATGCTCTCCCCGGACGCCCCAGAGCGTCGCGATGCTCTACCCGGACGCCCCAGAGCGTCGCGATGCTCTTCCCAGCCGCCCCAGAGCGGACGCCCCAGAGCGTCGCGATGCTCTCCCCGGACGCCCCAGAGCGTGGCGATGCTCTCCCCGGACGCCCAAGAGCGTCGCGATGCTCTTCCCAGCCGCCCCAGAGCGGACGCCCCAGAGCGTCGCGATGCTCTTCCCAGCCGCCCCAGAGCGGACGCCCCAGAGCGTCGCAGTGCTCTCCTCGGACGCCCCAAAACGTCGCGATGCTCTCCCCGGACGCCCCAGAGCGTCGCGATGCTCTCCCCGGACGCCCCAGAGCGTCGCGATGCTCTCCCCGGACGCCCCAGAGCGTCGCGATGCTCTCCCCCGGACGCCCCAGAGCGTCGCTATGCTCTCCCCGGACGCCCCAGAGCGTCGCGATGCTCTCCCCGGACGCCCCAGAGCGTCGCGATGCTCTCCCCGGACGCCCTAGAGCGTCGCGATGCTCTACCCGGACGCCCCAGAGCGTCGCGATGCTCTTCCCAGCCGCCCCAGAGCGGACGCCCCAGAGCGTCGCGATGCTCTCCCCGGACGCCCCAGAGCGTGGCGATGCTCTCCCCGGACGCCCAAGAGCGTCGCGATGCTCTTCCCAGCCGCCCCAGAGCGGACGCCCTAGAGCGTCGCGATGCTCTTCCCAGCCGCCCCAGAGCGGACGCCCCAGAGCGTCGCAGTGCTCTCCTCGGACGCCCCAAAACGTCGCGATGCTCTCCCCGGACGCCCCAGAGCGTCGCGATGCTCTCCCCGGACGCCCCAGAGCGTCGCGATGCTCTCCCCGGACGCCCCAGAGCGTCGCTATGCTCTCCCCGGACGCCCCAGAGCGTCGCGATGCTCTCCCGGACGCCCAAGAGCGTTGCGATGCTCTCCCCGGACGCCCCAGAGCGTCGCGATGCTCTCCCCGGACGCCCCTGAGCGTCGCGATGCTCTCCCCGGACGCCCTAGAGCGTCGCGATGCTCTCCCCGGACGCCCCAGAGCCTTGCGATGCTCTCCCCGGACGCCCCAGAGCGTCGCGATGCTCTCCCCGGACGCTCCAGAGCATCGCGATGCTCTCCCCGGACGCCCTAGAGCATCGCGATGCTCTCCCCGGACGCCCAAGAGCGTCGCGATGCTCTCCCCGGACGCCCCAGAGCGTCGCGATGCTCTCCCCAGCCGCCCCAGAGCGTCGCGATGCTCTCCCCGGACGCCCCAGAGCGTCGCGATGCTCTCCCCGGACGCCCAGAGCGTCGCGATGCTCTCCCCGGACGCCCCAGAGCGTCGCAATGCTCTCCTCGGACGCCCCGAAACGTCGCAATGCTCTCCCCCGGACGCCCCAGAGCGTCGCGATGCTCTCCCCGGACGCCCCAGAGCGTCGCGATGCTCTCCCCGGACGCCCCAAAGCGTCGCTATGCTCTCCCCGGACGCCCCAGAGCGTCGCGATGCTCTCCCGGACGCCCCAGAGCGTCGCGATGCTCTCCCCGGACGCCCCAGAGCGTCGCGATGCTCTCCCCGGACGCCCCAGAGCGTCGCGATGCTCTCCCCGACGCCCTAGAGCGTCGCGATGCTCTCCCCGGACGCCCCAGAGCGTCGCGATGCTCTCCCCGGACGCCCCAGAGCGTCGCTATGCTCTCCCCTGACGCCCTAGAGCGTCGCGATGCTCTCCCCGGACGCCCCAGAGCGTCGCGATGCTCTCCCCGGACGCCCCAGAGCGTGGCGATGCTCTCCCCGGACGCCCCAGAGCATCGCGATGCTCTCCCCGGACGCCCCAGAGCGTCGCGATGCTCTCCCCGGACGCCCAAGAGCGTCGCGATGCTCTTCCCAGCCGCCCCAGAGCGTACGCCCCAGAGCGTCGCAATGCTCTCCTCGGACGCCCCAAAACGTCGCGATGCTCTCCCCGGACGCCCCCAGAACGTCGCAATGCTCTCCCGGACGCCCAAGAGCGTCGCGATGCTCTCCCCGGACGCCCCAGAGCGTCGCGATGCTCTCCCCGGACGCCCAAGAGCGTCGCGATGCTCTTCCCCAGCCGCCCCAGAGCGTACGCCCCAGAGCGTCGCAATGCTCTCCTCGGACGCCCCAAAACGTCGCGATGCTCTCCCCCCGGACGCCCCCAGAACGTCGCAATGCTCTCCCCGGACGCCCAAGAGCGTCGCGATGCTCTCCCCCGGACGCCCCAGAGCGTCGCTATGCTCTCTCCGGACGCCCCAGAGCGTCGCGATGCTCTCCCCGGCCGCCCTAGAGCGTCGCGATGCTCTCCTTGGACGCCCCAGAGCGTCCCGATGCTCTCCCCGGACGCCCCAGAGCGTCGCGATGCTCTCCTCGGACGCCCCAGAGCGTCGCGATGCTCTCCCCGGACGCCCCAGAGCGTCGCGATGCTCTCCCCGGACGCCCCAGAGCGTCGCGATGCTCTCGGCCGGACGCCCCAGAGCGTCGCGATGCTCTCCCCGGACGCCCCAGAGCGTCGCGATGCTCTCCGGCCCGCGGACGCCCCAGAGTGTCGCGATGCTCTCGCCCCCGGACGCCCCAGAGCGTCGCGATGCTCTCATGCCCGGACGCCCCACAGAGCGTGGCGATGCTCTCCCCGGAACGCCCCAGAGCATTGCGATGCTCTCTCCCGGACGCCCCAGAGCGTCGCGATGCTCTCCCCGGACGCCCCAGAGCATCGCGATGCTCTTCCCAGCCGCCCGAGAGCGGACGCCCCAGAGCGTCGCGATGCTCTCCCTGGACGCCCCAGAGCGTCGCGATGCTCTCCCCGGATGCCCCAGAGCGTCGCGATGCTCTCCTGTCCCGGACGCCCCAGAGCGTCGCGATGCTCTCCCCGGACGCCCCAGAGCGTCGCGATGCTCTCTCAAGACGCCCTATAGCGTCGCGATGCTCTACCCGGACGCCCCAGAGCGTGCGATGCTCTCCCCCGGACGCCCCAGAGCGTCGCGATGCTCTCCCGGACGCTCCAGAGCATCGCGATGCTCTCCCCGGACGCCCTAGAGCGTCGCGATGCTCTCCCCGGACGCCAGAGCGTCGCGATGCTCTCCCTGGACGCCCCAGACGTCGCGATGCTCTCCCCAGCCGCCCCAGAGCGTCGCGATGCTCTC